TTCAGTTCTTTAATTGAAATGTGCATTGCTAACAGCGGAGCTATCTCAGCCGATAGGCTGCTTGTTCGACTTCTTTTTGAAAACTACAAGCCTGAATGCTTTGATGCATGGTGTATATGTACCTTGGGCAGACCTCTCTCAGATTTGTTCATTTCATGATCATATCTTCAATTCTCTAATTTTGGTGAATATTTTTGTAATTTTTGGTAAAAAGTGATATTTTCGACTTCTTGTTAAAAAACGCAAGTCCAATTGCTTTGATATTACATATGTAGGTACTACATGTGGATCTCTCTCAGATTTGTTCATTTTGTAATGATATCTTTAGTTCTCTAATTTTGGTGAATATTTTTGTCACTTTTGGTAAAAAGTGATATTTTCGACTTCTTGTTAAAAACCGCAAGTCCAATTGCTTTGATATTACATATATAGGTACGACATGTGTATCTCTCTCAGATTTGTTCATTTTGTAATGATATCTTTAGTTCTCTAATTTTAATGAATATTTTTGTCATTTTTGGTAAAAAGTGATGTTTTCTTGTTAAAAACCACAATCATTTATGGTGAAAAATGATATTTTTGAAGTCCCATTGCATTGATACTGTGCATATTGTTCATTTTCTAATGATATCTTCTGTTCTTTAATTGAAATGTGCATTGCTAACAGCGGAGCTAGCTCAGCCGAGAGGCTGCTTGTTAAAATAGCATTGAGTAAGATTAGAGCTAAACTTAAGGTTTGTATCCTGTGATTATATTTGTCAAGATATGTGCTATGTTTTCCAAGTTGAGTTAGTGTTCTAAAGGTCAATGTGCATGAATTAATATTATTAATTATTATCGCATCAGAGTCATGATCGGTAGACCCAAGTTCAAATCCTACCGCAGACTGAACATCAAAAAGGTCGGCCCCTACCCTGGGTGAGTGTGCCACAGACTCAATGGGCCAATTCCACTGGCCGAGATTCATTCACTAACGAATGCGACTTTGGGGGGAACCTTGGTTAAGGTCTGCAGGTACTTGTATTCGACCGAGCCTGTTTGACGCCAGGATAGCGCATTAAATTGCCATTTGATAGGAAGATGGCCGCACATTCCTGTCATGTAGTCCCAAAAATGAATATGACTTCTGTGGCAAAAAATGCATTATCACTTTGCACATACAAAAAAAGTCAGGAGAGACAACAGTGACATTCAATGACCGGAACTGTCGCCTGGCACAAAAAATATTTGAAAAAAAAAATATTTTATATTAATATTTATTAAAATAGCATTGAGTAAAATTAGAGCTAAACTTAAGGTTTGTATCCTGTGATTATATTTGTAATCATACTGATAACTTTCATCAAAGAATTTAAAAATTGATTGATTTATAGCTTGGAAATGCTAAAGATTTAATCTGAGTAGAGAGACCTCGAGTGTTCTATAAAATGGCAACTTGTGAAATTTTCAGAAGCTTAGATCAGTGTCTTATTTTAAATGGCAAAATAATTTACTGAGTATATTATCAGAACATATTTATTATTATCATGCGTGGATTGTTTTTAGATTTCACAAAGTGAAATTTTGTTAAATTCCATCATTTGGAAATAGTTAGCCTGATTTTATAAAACAGACTTTTCTGGAATTTGTTTTTTATTACTCCCAGGTGTGTTTGTCATTGTTATACTAGTACTTGGATGTAATTTGTAAATTGTATTCATTGATATGTTTGAGCAATTGTTTTGTGTTAATTTTGATCAGGCATGTAACCAATGGTAAATTGTGTCAATAAGGTTCAAAATTACCAAAGAATTATAGAATAATACATAAAACTACCCAATTTTTGCGCCCACAATCTTGGAAGGACAATGATGTTCAAATGAATAACCTTATGAGTGGCAAAGTCATTTTTGTCAAAACCAACATTATGTTTTTCATATATTTTCAATATTTTGTTTGAAACTTGTATTCAATAACAAATTATGTTTGTTTAGTCCAACGTAAGCAAAATGTGCCACTAACATTTTGGCAAAAAAGATTATGGCTGTAAGGTTATGAAATACATGTGGTACTGTAAAATCTATATTAGAAACCGCGGCTTCTATTAAAATGGTACAATGCAATGAAGGGGATGCGGCTTCTATTAGACATATGAGAAATGATGAATTTTTGGTTCTCAATTGTTCAAAAAGAATGGGTGCGACTTTTATTCTATGCGGCTTCTAATACAGATTTTACGGTATCAATTGTGATTTTTTTTTAAATCGTTTTATGACTGTGACAATGTGTTTATGGTGTATTCTTTTGTGTTTCAGTCTGTCAAATATGAAAATCTGACTGAATTGGAGGAGGATCTAAACTTAGTTTTCAATAATGCCAAAAAGTACAATTTACCTAACTCGAGGCTCTACAAAGATGCAGATAGATTACAGAAACTAACTGTCAGCAAGAAGAAAGAATTGGAACAGTTTGAAATAAAGGTAATCCACATTTATTTGGTGCATCTATATTCAATTGTTCAAAAGACAGCGTAAAGCACCACAGTTTTATATATGCAAATGTTTATTTGCATGCATGGTATATGTTGAATGAGACACATGTTAAACATAACACAGTATATTGAATGTGGTAGTTTAAAAGTATTATCAATTATGTATGAAAAACTTTGTACTATAAGTAAAAAAAACACAAAAATGTGTTATTGATATTTTTAATGTTCATGGTCACAAAAATCTTGTGTAGTTTTATCACCACATCAACAGCTATATCACCTGATTATGGTACATAAAAATACACATGGTATATTACACTGTATAACTTTATCTTTTATGTCAAGTCAAGTTATCTTATTTGCCATTTATTTGAATTTCTCCAGAAGGAAAATGAAAGTGTCCATGAAGAACCAATTGTGGAGAAGCCAAAGAAGAAGAAAAGCAATGGAACTCCATCAGTAAAAGAGGAAAAGAAACAGAAAAAACGAGAAAGTATGGATGGAGAGAGCCAGTTGAAAAAAAGATGTACTCTTTTGTACAAAATAATTGAAAATTATCAGGTACACTTCACTCTTTCAAAATTTATTTCTACGGTATTAGCATCCTCCTGAAAAATAAAGGTACTTTGAAAGTAAAACTGAAATCTGCTATTTTGTAGTTTATATAACCAATTTTCTGGGTAATCAGCATCTGCACAGAATTGTAATTGTTTTCTTGACCTAGGACCAAATGTTATCAGATGTTAGTGACACTGTCTCCTGTAGTCAGGCTTTTTATAGAGTGTCAGTCAATATGCTGGTGTATTCAGAAAAAATTGTACATTCAATAGATTGAGCTGTCACAGTGATTTTATGATGGAGCTCGCTTCAGCCTTTGGACGAAGAGATGTTGTGCTATAATGTGGTGTTTTATGTTTTCAGGATGCCACTGGTCGTTATTTAACTGATCTGTTCATGGAGAAACCATCCAGAAAACTGTATCCCGACTATTACAAAGTTATCAGTGAACCTATTGATATGATAACAATTGAAAATAATATTCTCAATGATAAGGTAAGACTTGTGATACATTATAGCGTTTGACCTGATATCACTTGTAAAGCTGATTGGTACAAGTAATGTCATTGGCTAGTATTAACTATGAACCAAATGCGTAATACAACACCACAAGTATCAACTTCCTCTTCAAATGAATCAAATCAAGTGATAACCTTTTTATGACCAACTCTCAGACAATGTATTATTTCACAAAAATGCGAGTTTTTGTCGCGATGCTATCCAATATGGCTTACTGGCTATGATTTTGTTCGACAATAATCTAATTTTGGACAACATTTTTTGATGTCTTGCCCTGTCTATGCCAAACACAGATACATTCTATTCACGAAAGCAAGGAAAATATCCCAAATTTCAATAAAATAAACCATGATGACCAATTCAGATTTATCTTGAGCAATGAATTCCTGTCAATTTTTTAGGCCAATATTTTTAGTCCCCGTTCGGACGCAGTCCGAAAACGGGGACTTGTGTTTTGACCTCCGTGTGGTCGTGCGTGTGTGCGTGCGTCCGGACCTGTATCTTAGAAATGCCTGGATCAATCACAATCAAACTTCACACATACATCATACATGATATTATACATA